ACACATATCCACCGATTAATCAACAGACCAACAGCATACCAGGTGACATTTAACTTAATATGTGGGTCTGTGGGGATTAACTTGCTAGGAAGCAGTTTTGAGTGGCCACCCAAGGAGCTACAGCTTCTAGTCTACAACAAGATTAGTGTTTCGGGCTGATATACCACAAAGGCTTTACCTCAGTGAAATTTACTACACGTCTAAAACAAATCTTTTGACAAAAATACTAATAAAAAATTAATAATCCTGCTCTCGTAGATATGTTTTCCTTTAGTATTCCTCAAACAGCTGACCTTGAAGTTCTAACACTTTTCTACGCGTGTTAGAAGTGGTCACCTTTTGAAGTGACGTGCTGCTGCGAGGCCTCTCGTGCACGAATGCAAAAACGCACACGGAATAAAGCATCTTAAACAGCTTGCCTCCCTCGCTTGAGCCTCTCTGTGAAAGATGCATGTTTTAACCCAACGCCGAGGTCCCATCAATCGTGTTGAAGGCCACAGTCACACACGCATATACGAGTACACACACTTCACTGTTTGACTGTTTCGCTGGGTAAATATTAAGACCTGCCTCTTAGGTAGCCGTGTGCATTAATATATGTCACCTGATGAGAGTGTATGTGTGTTCTCGGACGTTAGCGTGTTTAACATTGTGTTTGCTCTGCAGAGCCTCAGCTGAAGGGCATTGTCACGCGGCTCTACTGCAGACACGGCTTCTACCTCCAGATGCTGCCGGATGGCACCATGGAAGGCACAAAGGACGAAAGCAGCTCCTTCTGTAAGTAAAGGAGGACAGACTCTTAGATATTGTTGCTGTACAAGGGTTCTATTTCATGCCTGAGTCAGTACATGCACCTCTAGGAGTTTCCCCTGCTTCCATGTCAAAGTGTGTTTAAACGGGATCTTCCTGGTAAGACAGATTAACATCCTGAGAGCACGCAGAGGCACGACAACCCTGCCATGCTTTCTGGTTTGATTTGCACCAGGATCGATCAGGCTGAAAATGCATGCACACTTGGCGAGGTGGACTAGGGGAACGGCAGCCAAATGGGATTCATTCTCATTGCAGAATATATCACAGAAGATCTCTGGCACTGATTAAGCTCTTCAAAGACATGCTTTTAATTGTTTTGCTTACAATCATTCTGACCTTCAGGTTGTAAGCCTTATGTGCCTATGAATAACTCATCTGTGAGTATACACACTGCACTGTAAGTGTGCATGTTGTGTTCTCAGTTTCAGGCACAACACCCTGAATTATTTAGGTACATGTCAGAGTGCAAGTTTCCAACAAAGTTCAATGAAACATCCGTAGCAGCTAATATTCTGGTGTATTTATCACTAGTAAGTAGATATCATGTGATGTCTCCTAAATGTTCTATCCAGGCAGTTCAATCACCACACAGACTTGATGTTACAGTGGTCACAGCTGTTCATTGGAACAACGTGTCAATGCTGCCGCCATATCGCTCAAGGGGAGACAGGCTGTCTAATGCATGCACGTCTGCAGAGGCTGACGTCTTTACACAATTAAAAATCCTCATTAATCACTGATTTTTCAAGTAGCTTTCAAGACAATTTTTTTATTGTAAAAATGCTTTTTTAGCAACAACTCCTAAACCATTGGAAGTCATGTTTATTTCCTATTAAATGGTGACACTTGTGAGGAAAATACATTTGTTAGTTGAGCAGCAGAGTTGTTGGTTGAAAGTGTGGGTTGCACCTATTAAAAACTTCCCAAATCTTCTCTGCCAATGCCAAACAGCTTAATCTGCTACTCCCTCTTCTTTGGCGTCGTTCAGTTGATTGGATGGTTGAAGTATGAAGAAACAAGACATTTTGAAAATTTTACAATAATTTTACAATATATTCCTTTAAGAAATTGGGGCCCTCTGTAGCATGTGGAAGAACATCTGGTGATTTTCGTTGGTAAGTTAGCCATTGTTTGTTTCTGTCTATCTGCTGGTCTGACTTTTCTCAGCTTCAATCATTGTTTTTAAGAGAAACTTAACACCCTTTAAGGCACAAATACTGTAACTTAATTATCCTGTTAAATTAACACGCTCGATCTATGGAAAGGATATTTCCTACCTAACTCTAATGTTATAGTTTTATTGTTAGCAATAGCTGCTAACCGCTACCCAATGATAACTTAATAGATGGCTAATGTGGCTACTGGATAACTGCTAACAGTAAAAAGTCTAACATTAATGTCTTTGCTGGCTGGGTTAATGATTATGATAACTGTTAAATGCTTCAGTGTTGTTGAAATGGGAGATTCTCTGACCTCTCGAAATTCCTCATGAAACAGCGTTCAGTGTTGTGAACACTGACTATTGTTCATGTGTTCAGCTGCTAGCGATTCAATTTCTAACTATAGTATTTCAAAACTACTTAATGGTATCAAATAACCACTCTGAAGATTTTATTGAAGACCTACAGTTCTTAACAGTCACACAAAAACCTGCTGTCCTTCTTTGGTTGCTGAGTTTGTGATTGTGCACACACACCTAACCCTGTGAGGGGCATCGCCTAGAACATTAATGACTCAAAACATCCTATCCCATGATTCCCTAGAGTCTCTGGATGGACTCCAACCTTTCCAAAGAGATCAATATTATATTACAGGAAATCCCTGATGTGGCAACACGGCAGCTTTTTTCTGTCAAAACACCAGTTTGGGTGGGAAATATGAGCTTAGCACAATTTTGGATTTACACTCTACACAGGGAGGGGAGAAAATCACACGTTGACACTCAGCTGTGGTTCCCCTGTACAAGATTATATTTCAGCATTCTATTAAGACGTCAGAATCCTTGTGACAGCAGGATTGTTACTGGGTTGGAATAACCTGGATCTAACCTTGAGGTGTTCGTTGTGAGGTTTTCCCCTGGCATTTGTCCTGGAGACTAGCTTATGTAACTTGGCAGGATGATATTTGCTGATGGGAAACATAGCAGCGCATAAAGTGTTTATTTAGTGAAATAAACAATGAGTGAAATATTTCAAGACAACTCTCCAGAAGGCTGATTCTCCAGATTCTCACATAACAATCCCCAGGACTGTTATCCCTGAAAACTGGTTTGGCACCGAGGTTATGAATCCTCTAGCCCAAGGAGGTTGGTTAAACACCTCCATAAAGTGATTAGATCTGCACTCACCTCTCCCTCTTATGTAACTGCACACCTACGCTGAGGCAAATGTCGGCTGAACATTCTGTCTGAAGTGATCACATAATACCGCTGGGCACATCTGAAGGCGAACAGGGCTCATGCCCAGACAGATGTAAAGACGAGCATTGTGTAACAGCACCCCTAGCGTGCAGTGGCAATAAACTTCAGTCGGCGGAGGTCAGACCGCAACTTGTTTGCAGGGGTTAATTTTTATAACAACACTAATTCCATCAATGCCAGTATCTGGTGCATGGCTTCCCTGAGCTGTTACATTTTCAAAGGCGGCATGTGATAAACTCTGCAAAACCCAAACTGTGCACTTACAGATTATTTATTAATTCAAGCAAACAGTCTTCTAGAGATTGACATCAGTGAAATAGAGTATCAATCAGAGACACAATCATCCACCTGGCTGCACAGAACATTGAATGAGCAGAAATTGCTGCGTGAGCATCAACTCTTATAAACTGTATGAGTGTGTGTGCATGAGAATGTGTGGAAATTCAGACCGTAAAATGCAATGTGACCGACAAACAGACACCTTTTGCTTTAACTCAGTTTCACTCTTGCATATAGAATTCACCTGTTTTTTTTTTTGCATTCTTTTTTTTTGGTGATACATTGGGCTGATCTGACCATCCAATGCAGAATCACGATACAGCCAGAGAGAATACTCTTGAAGTCGCGTTGATAGAATCTCCTCAAACCTCCTCAGCAGCCGCAGAAGGAAGAGTTATTGTCTCACTGCTTTTGTGACCAGCTCAGATCCTCACTGACGTTGAGCCCTGGAAACTTATTCTCTCCTCCTGTGGAGAGAGTAACCCAGCAGTGTAACCTGCTTGGTTACACACTGAGCCCAAAAGCCATTCGATTCTACCAACTCTGTTCAGTCTGTCCGTTGTTACTTTCTCTCTTGGTGCTGCTAAAAATGAATTAGCTGTGACACTGGGACTTTCTGTGTGCTTGGCCTTCTCAGATCCTGTTCTCACTCCCGAGGTATCAAATGCTATAGATGGTAGAAGCTGTCAGAATCACAGAGATACACAGAAGGCATCCTTTAGTGTCCGTTCCATGAACCACTGGCTGTGGCAAGAGTAAGATAAATCTCAGCGTCCCAACTTGACCCATACATTTTAAAAACAGCTGATATTTTTTTTGTTTAGGAAAATTCCCAGTAGCTAACTGAAAACTAGGAAAGCATATGAGGAACTAACTTTCAGAATAAAACATGAAGTAAACACAAAGGACAATCCCCCCGTAGCAGGAGGAGGAAGAGGACGGAAACAGGTATTATTCCCAGTCTTTTTACTTTACATCTATCAACAGATACCCCTTATCCCAAACTCTACACAGGTTCCAGGTGATCTATCTTAAGAAGTAAATGTATTTGGACTTTGGAAATAGACTAATCACTGCCTAACATTTAAAGAAAAAAAAAATCCTTATTGATCATGGGGACAAAAGATTAGGGTGAATTGTTGGAAGTTAAAGTATTTGTAATTTTTTTCTTATATCTGAAACAGATCAACCCTTATATGTAACAATAGCCACCTTCTACCACTCATCAGCCTCAGTTTCAGCAGTGATTGTGCACCCCACTGAAGTGTATAACACAAAAGTGTGTAACACCAAAAAAGGCCAAATCAGCATCAAATGGGATAAATAATTAAAGGAGGAACAGGGAAGTTCATATCTGAGGCGCTGGCCCATGCAGCCAGCTGTGATACTCATCGGCTGATCTTCAGGATGAAACTTTCACCTGTGACCTGCTGCAGTGAACGACCTCCAAGGGGCAGGAGGGAGCCCGGTCCATTGGCTCCCTCTTGTCACTTCTCTACCTGGGGTACCAGGCTTTACAGCAGCTACCTTAACCTCCTGTTTCTCCTGGACCCAAATGTGTCAGGAAGGCAGGACACTGAAAGGAAAGCCAAATGGAGGGAAAGAAAAAGCTGGGAAGAGGTACAGAAGCCCTGAGGGGATGTAATAGAACAAAAAGTGACAAGAGTGGCTTTTGTATGGCCTTGGAATACTTTTATCACTTTTTTAAAGCAAGCGGCTTCAGGGATTTCTTAACTAGGTGACAGAGGAAGCTGTCACCAAAGCACACTATATTTTTGCAAGTGAGAGATTGGTGGAAACAAAGAATAAGAGGATCACAGAGGAGTGGAGAATGGGAAGACGGGCCAGAGCAAACTGAGCCAGTGAGACAAGATGGGCTGGCAGAGAAAGAGAGTAAGTGAGACGGAAGGAGGGGGGGAGACGTGAGGATGACGGTGAAAAAGGCAGAGGGACAGGAGGGAGTGATGGGGAGCACGAGGAGCAGCTGGCATACAGCTGATGGCTCCTCAATCACTGTGTCTCCCCCCTTTGGTGGGAGGTCAGAGGAGCTGCCCCCCTCTGCTCCTCTTCTCCTCTCTCCTTGCCTGTTCTTGGCTCTTCCAGGCTGTTATATAATAAAGCTGGGAGAGGAAAGAGGGGAGGGAAGAGGAGCAACTTTAAGATTTACTTATCTTTTCAATGGAAATGAAGTTGCTGTACTGTGTGTTGTTCTGACATGTTTTAGCCACTTTAATAGAAATCAATTACACTTCATAGTTGGTTGAAC